GGCGGAGACGACCTCACGGTCCAGTCTGCCCTTCAAGACGAGGCTGGCGCCGTCTCGGGTGCGGCGCAGACTGAAAGGCTCCAGGAGCTCGTTGGGCAGCAGCGGCCAAGACTCGGCTCCCGGGCGACCCGACTCCGTCGACGACTCGACAGAAGAGATGAGGCCACCCGGGACTCGAGAGGCATTGCTCGAACCGGCCGAGGGCGCTACCAACGGGACCACCTCGAGACGGACCTCTTGAAGACCGTTTTGTCCCACGTCGGCGTCATGAATGACAAAATGATGCAACACTCCGCTCGACTGACTGTCCTCAGGCACGGTGATGCTGCCTCCGGCGCCGGGGCCAATGTGTTGTAGGATCTGGCGAGACAAAAATTGAGGTGCATGGTCGTTGATGTCGTGCAGTCGGACGTAAATTTGAATAAGGCTAAGTTGGTCGCCAGGCTGGTTGATGGGAGGCTGAGGACGCAAAGCGTGGTTGCTGACCGGCTGACCCAATTGGGCGGAGGTGATGCCGGGATTCTGACCTTCGGCCGTGGTTGCGGCCGTCTCCGGGTCGACGGGCCGCGGTGTTGCGCTGATCTGTACGGCCAAATGACACACTTGGCCCGCGGGTACCGGAGGACGAGACGGACCGGTTGGGGATGCTGAAGACGAAACAGGATGGGCGTAGGGAGAGGAAGAAGAAGATGAGGAGAGGGTGCCCTCAAAGCGGCCCTCCGAGCCGCCTGATAAAGGTCTCAACTGTATCAGGTTGCCGGGAATCCGGCTGTTGGGCTTGCAGCAGAACTGGGCCCGTTGGCTGGCGCAAAGAGCTTCACGATCCAGTCGGGCCGCAGTCACCAACTGACCGGTTTGTGTGTCGACACGAAACAGAGCGGCGTCCAGACCTTCTGAAATGCGATAGTCAAGATGAAGATGGTTGGATGGATCGGTTAGTGCCGTGTCGTCAGTGGACGCAAGTGATGCCGGCTGAACGTAAGTGGTGGCCGAAATAGCGGCGGACAAGTCGAGTAGGGCGCTGCCGACGGGAATCTCTTCGTTAGTTTCGGTGTAGAACCGGTGCAATGCAAAGCCGTCTTCGCTGGCCTCGTCGGACGGCCTGGCCAGTGAAGATACAGCATTGGTCGGGTGTCCAGCGTCGCTCCATGGCAGGCAGATGGCTACGACCAGCCGGACCAGCACAAAACCATGCAGTGGACGCATTGTTACAGCCTCACTTCCTCATGGCATTAGCCTGTGATTGTTCCATTGAAAAGATGAGGAGACACAAAAAATACATACAATTGCCAAAGTGGTATAGACTTCCAAATAAGCCGAAATAGATATGCCAACTTAATGAGACTCTCATTCGATATATTTGTCAAGTGCACATCACTTTACCTAGCAAGTGAATTCGTTAAGATTTATCACGATAACAGCATAATCGCACTAGGCAGCTTAAGGTGAATTAACGACAGGTAAATGAGTAATCCCACAATCAGACCAACATCATATCTCATCCAGACCAAAGATGGCCAAGGTGCCAAAGAGTAATAGAGCAAATGTGACATTCAAGGTAAATCAGGCCTCATACAAATCACAGTTATGGTGGGAGTGTCGACTAAGCAATCTTGTGTTTGCCATTGCAATTGACAACGTCGCTGATTTCCAATATAAGTAGTCCTTATTCAGACAATAATGATAATCTCGAAGGCTACTTATTCCTAAAATGTATCATGAGCAAGTAAAAGTATTAATGGGATAGTGAATATGCTCAGGACGAATTATTGCTTTTTGCATTGAGTTCACAAGCTTTATGTATTTTAAAAGACTAGTCTCAACCCCACACCTTTGCTAAATAAAGTCTGTTGACTAGAGCCTATCTGGCATGGATTATGCATACATTCTGTGCTAAATTCATCTCTTAGTGCACTCATGTTTAAGTGAGAATATTGTCTGTGTGCGGCTTTCAGCTTTTCTCCTTTACTCGTTTCAGAAGCACTTTCGTTTAAAGTGATAAGAGGACTGGTAGTTGAATTTTCCCACAATTTAGTAGACCTTACGTTTCAATTGAATTTCCCATAGTATTGCTTTCCCAAAATGAGTTATCATCCAGAGTGAACTTCCCTAGGTATCATAAGCCTCCACAGGAGAACTCGAACCATGGCAGTGCGGAATAGAATCTCGACACCTTAACCACTACGTCACACTGGCACGAGTGCTCTAGCCTCAGCTGGTAGATGTGAATATCAAAGAAGACCAGGCCCTTTCCCATATCACATTTTATGGAGGGATTGTCGATGGAGCAAAGTTATATTTGCTATAGTAATAAGATACATTGCTTACATTTCCCATATCACTACCAGTCATTCATTACATTAACAAATTAGGGCAAGCGCATCTTATATATATGATTTGCTGACAGTCCAGAAAACCTAATTATAAACAAAAATAAGTAATTTAGCCGATTGCTATAGCAACTACAATTTTGCTTCATTGACAATTCCATAACAGCATCTGATATTGTAAAATGCCTGGCTTTCTTTGCTATCCACATCTGCCCTGTGACCCAAGGACACTCGTGGTTAACATGTTGAGATTATACGCTGCGCTGCTATGGTTCCAGTAAAGCTGGGAACGTTGATGAAACCGAGGTGAATTCTAAATTGCAGTCCACTCCTGCCTGGATGAGAATACCTTTTGAGAAAGCAAGTCTACCCGAAATTTAATGGAAGCAAGAGGCATTCTTATAGCATTATGTAAACATTCAGCTACCAGTCTCCATATCACCTTAAATGCATCAGGATGGATACATCTTATATATATGATCTACTGGTAGTCTCGAGAACCTACTAATAAACAAAAAATTACTGCCATGTTGCTTTTAAAGATTAATATTTTAATGAATTCAAAGACCTCATATTCCAACGAAGGTTCAATGCGCCGATGCTACTTGAGTTTAAACTGATTTGCGTGCGCTAATGCATCTTCCGCGATAATGGCACTTCATTTCACTTTAGATGAGCTCGCATTGCTGCTCGCCACCGGATAGTGGGATTCTGTAGCATTTTCATTCATGTGTGGGCAAATAAATCAAGGGTAGGAACCAGTACCTGAAGTCGTACTGGACTAACTTTACAGACTGAAAGGTTCCCCTAAATTGACCAATATTCATCCTTTTTGCATAGCTTTTTACAAAAAGTGTAAACCTGGCCACCAATGACAATTTATGAACTCTGTTTTTGGGACGACAAATTGTATAACCTTCAGCCTGTGAAAAATGGGCCTTAAATTTGATCAGATCAGACCCATTAGCCAAGTGAGCCCCAGAAAATTAGAATTTATCTATCCTTAATTATGACAGGCTGTGTAGGGAAACTCGTCATGGCATTACCAGAATTGCTGGTGGACCCAGCCCAAGCTGCGTTCATGGCATCTTATGTGTGTGTTCGATCAGTATTGGACCCAGCTTCAATATGGAGGATTGCCAACTTCGGCTACAGTGATTGGTGGGGAATGCGAAAATTACAATATGAACCCACTAATATCTCAGGCCATGTGGTAACCTCCAGCCTTTACCAGCCGGAAGAGAATATAGCATGGCTCTCGAAGTGATCCAGCTCTTGCAACTAAGAAATAACCACAACAGTTTTCAAACGGGATTTGATTTTTTTAATAATTCCATAGGAGGCTACCAAGAGATATACA